TAGGCAGCAGCCTGCAGGGCATTTCCATACTTTCCGCCCAGAGTATTGATATCGGCTCCTTTATCCAACAGTATCTGCACAATCTGGGTATGCTCAATGGAGACAGCAGCCTGCAGGGCATTTCCATACTCTCCACCTTGCGCGTTGACATCGGCTCCATTATCCAATAGTATCTGTACAATCTGGCTATTTCCTTCATAGGAAGCAGCCTGCAGAGCATTTCCAAAACATCCACCCTGAGCGTTGACATCGGCTCCTTTATCCAACAGTATCTGTACAATCTGGCTATAGCCTCTGATAGTAGCAGCCAGCAGAGCATTTCCATACTCACCACCTTGCGCGTTGACATCGGCTCCGTTGTCTAATAGCATCTGCACTATCTGACTATGGCCTCCAGTAGAAGCAGCCTGCAGAGCATTTCCATAAAGTCCACCCTGAGCGTTGACATCGGCTCCTTTATCCAACAGTGTCTGTACAATCTGGCTATTCCCACAAGAAGCAGCAGCCTGCAGAGCATTCCCAAAAAATCCACCCTGCGCGCTGACATCGGCTCCTTTATCCAACAGTGTCTGTACAATCTGGCTATTCCCACAAGAAGCAGCAGCCTGCAGGGCATTTCTATACTTTCCACCCTGCGCGTTGACATCGGCTCCCTTATCCAACAGTATCTGTACAATCTGGCTATGCCCACTAAAAGCAGCAGCCTGCAGGGCATTTCCATATTCTCCACCCTGCGCGTTGACATCGGCTCCATTATCCAACAGTATCTGTACAATCTGGCTATGCCCACTAAAAGCACCAGCCTGCAGGGCATTTCCATATTCTCCACCCTGCGCGTTGACATCGGCTCCGTTGTCTAACAGCATTTGCATAATCTGACTATGGCCTCCAGTAGAAGCAGCCTGTAGGGCATTTCCAAAACGTCCACCCTTAGAATTAATATCTGCTCCGTTGTCTAACAGCATTTGTACAATCTGGCCATGACATTTAAAAGAAGCAGCCTGTAAGGCACTTCCAAAACGTCCACCCAGCGCGTCGACATCGGCTCCGTTGTCTAACAGGATTTGTACAACCTGGCCATGACAACTAAAAGAAGCAGCCGCTAGGGCATTTCCATGAAGTCCACCCTGCGCGTTGACATCGGCTCCTTTATCCAACAGTATCTGCACAATCTGGCTATTTCCTATATAGGAAGCAGCCTGCAGGGCATTTCCCAAAAGTCCATCCGGTCGGGCCATTCCAAACCATGGACCCTTCGCGTTGACATCTGCTCCGTTGTCTAACAGTATCTGCACTATCTGGCCATGGCCACTAACAGAAGCAGCATACAGGGCGTTTCCATACGATCCACCCTGAGCGTTGACATCGGCTCCGTTGTTTAACAGCGTTTGCACAGCCTCACAGTAGCCTTTAAATGACGGCCACATTAAGGCAGTAGCCCCTTTGCTATCCTCTGCATATATTGTATTCTCCTCTGTCGTGATGATCAGTTTCAGTACATGGCTATGCCCATTAAAGGCCGCCAGATGTACTGCATTCATTCTAACTTTTCGATGCCTTGGCATAATAGCTTCCCAAAAGATAGAGAACCACAATTCATGTCTGCTGGTGGTTGTGCAGTATAGACTGTGTACCAGATTAACGATTTCTTGCTGTTGCGACGAGGACATTCCACGAACATGATCAGCCCAGTACACTGCTGAATATGGCAGAAAACATTGAATATCAAACTCTGTTTGTTGACGATGGTCTTCTAGGTCATCCATTTGCAAGTATCGGATACAGATTTGTGACATTTCCTTATCAGCATCTTGCAATTCGAAGGAGTATTCCGAGATAGGCTCGTGGATGATATTTCTCCCAAGAAGAAATTCCCTGGCTGTTTGGTGTATAAGGTAGATCCTTGACTTGTTGATGAAAACAAAAAGCCCACAGAGTTGTCGTATCTTCGTACTAAGCCTGGTGGGTTCAAGCCGAGCTGCTGCGGCAATTGCCACCTCAGGATTGGCAGCCACACCTAATGCCATGGACATTTCCTTTATTGTTAATGGGCGCCGTGCACTAACAATAATCCGTAGGATCTGCTTCACGATATCCTTTTGACCAGATGGGACTCGAGTGAGTATCTTCTCGTACGCCGCGTACACGGAGTCGGGTACCAGTACAATTGATTCATTAGCTGGCCGAAGGCTATTCTGAAATGTATTACGGATGTCATCGATGGCCAGATATAGCCACAGGTACGTGCGGTGTTGCATTTGACAAAGCCGATCCGCAATTCGCTGCTCCACATCGGCTGGGAGCCCTGATGTCTTAGCCAACTCTTTTACTTTTACCTTCACCACGAGATTAATCTCCTCATGAATCTGTTCATTTTTCTGCTCCCCCTTCAGACGAATATGCGGAAATAAGTCTGTTATAGGCTTGAAATTATTCTGGATTTCATCGTATGGGCGGCTGGTGACAAGAAACTTTAACCAACTCGGTGGCGTCCGCAAGCTGGTTTGGTTATAGAACTCCTTGAGTCGTTGAATGAGTTGGTTCTGGTCCACGGGACGACATTCGTCAAGTCCATCAAGCACACAAATGGTCTTTGGAGATGTAGGATCCGATGTCGCTGCTAGGAGAATCCGCCAAAGCTCATCAGGCTCTTGCTGAAGCCTTTCCCCATTTTTCTCCCAGGGCGGCACCGCATGTCGTAGCAGACTTGGTTGTTGACTAAAGAGCTGATGTAGTATTGCACACAGTGCTGTAGCAAAACTATTCTGCTCATCATTATCTTTGAAAAAGAAATAGCAAATTGATACCGCTGAACTGCTGGCTTGTAGATCACCATCGATAAGTGACTTAGAGAGCACGGATTTCCCACAGCCAGGGTCGGCTGATATCCAGAGAAGATCATTGCCGCAACTATTCCACCAACGGAGGTAAGCTGGACTCTGCAAAGCCCATTGACATGTTCCTGGTACTCTATCGGGGTTGATATTCTTGTACTGCTCGTAGTTCGAAATCTTGAATACTTGATGACACTTTTTCTGCTGATCTGTCAAGACTCGAGCTGTCTGTTCAGTGTGATACCGTTCTTGTTGATCATATGCTTTATCCAATCGATCGTTGGTACCTTTGACCGTTCGATTTAAGACTTCTAGGGAGCCTACAGATTGTCATATAAGTAAATCGTCTCGTCATTGAATATCGGGCTATTCCAACTCTCACTTACGACAAACATCTGTAGCCAGGCTTTCTTGCGACACTTGACCCTTTGGTATATATCCCAACAGTTCTTTGGTGTATGACGCCGCTGCCAATGCAGCATATCCTTGCCATTGCTTGTTTTTGTGCGAATCAGAATAATCGCAAATACCGCGGATTACAATGCAGGGGAAATCCAGCATCAATCCTGCCGCCTCCATTTCAATGCACAATGCCCCAGTTTGCGTGCGGATCTCTTCTCGTGTCCTTCCGTGTTTGATGACAGAATCCCCGGACGCAATAATGCCGTAGTGAGATTGCGGTTCATTGTCCTCGCGCTCACTTCTGGTCACCTCCCATTCTCTCAGGCATACGCCACAGTTGTCTGCAGTAGCCAGATGGTCGTACTTGCTCTGAAATAACCGATCGCTCTGCTGGTCAGGCTTGGCAAAGGTCTTTTGGGTTTTTCGGGTTCTCCCAATCGCTTGTCGGATATATTCCGAATAGTGAGGATCGTCGGTAAGCTCGGCAGCCCTCATCTTACTAACGGCCGCTAGCAGCGACCTAGGAGGGCTGTTCAGAGATCCCACTCGAGTAAATTTACCACCAACTCCAACTTTACCCATATCATACTGAAGCACACCGCCACAGGTATCTGTTGGACAGCTGATAACGATATCACCAAGCCGTATGTCACAGGTAGTGGATGGAATTCCGCCTCCCACACCTACCATCAAGCCAATACGTAGTGATTTTGAAAACGTACGGACCATGTTGTTTGCAACAATAGTAGCTGCAGTATTTCCATATTGGCCTGCAGGCAGGCAGGCGATCACAATATTATGTTTGCCTATTCGGCCCAACGTGTAGATATTTGGATCTGTTGTATCTTGCTCTTCGAGAAATCCGAAATTTTCGTCGAGCATTTCTTTGGCTGCTGCTGCCTCGACGGGAAGGGCACAGATCCACCCGATTTGAAACTCGTCTCGTGGGGGACAAGGCATTGTATCGTCTGATCAAGACCCAGTTAGGGCTACCCTGATAGTGGCAATGATTGACGGGATCTCTGAAAGAAGTCCAAAGGTAGAGGCAACGGCCTGTTAGGGTTTGAAAACTCTACTCCTAAAGGGATTAAGGGACCAACATGCTCTCGAAGATAAAATGAGATTATTATCACCATCCCAAAGTCAGCCTTGTCCTGGAATATCAAGGTGGCTGGGGCGGCAAGAGGGGAAATATGATTGGCAGCAATTTACAACCCAACCCTCAGCCTTGTCATTACCACAAATACACGCTCGGAATCTTCTTTACTCCCATACTTCCCTATACATATACTACACCTCCCACTATATACAGTTATTCTTTAAGCTGGTTTTTTCTGTTATACTACGCAGATTAATTCACCATTGAATATCTCAATAACACAGCCTCAAGGCCAATTATGTATGTACATCGACTGACTGTCTTGGCATTACGGTCACTTTTCATGGGTTGTTTACTAGCAATTCCGTAACCTCTCTAGTTATTCTCTCTAAATTGGAGCCTATGTAACATAGCCAGCACGTGTTACCGTATCATGATACTTGTTACAAATGTTACAAGATGCCAAGAAGGCTATGAGATACTGAGATTACTTGGTTCTCTACCGCACCGCACCAAACACTGCCTGACGCTTTGACCACCAATTTTTGGTATAAAGGGTGTAGTAATGATTTTATTTATTTGATTATATTATCTTTGAAAGCTGCTATGCGGCTGGGATTTTGATCTACAATCGTCGTTTGTCTAGCATACCGAACAGACTCGCGGAATCTAACTTGAAATCTAGTCTTCTGGTTTATATTCATTGCACATGGCCGAGACCAACATGGCTATGTATTCGCTATCTATAATATATAGCTATAATATGGCCGGGTTAGAGAATGGTGTGCAGTCACTGCTTCTAGTACTTCTTTTGTACCTCAGGCTTGATATTATATTGGACGTAAGGGCCCTCTAGGTATTGGTTGTCTATGCTATTTACTCCACCGCTTCCTAAGGATAAGATACCCACGGTATAAGTAGGCTGCGGGTATGCTTATAAGTTACGACTCCTTTATTATTTGCCGATATATAGCTTTAACACTATTTAAGGACCTCTTGAAGTTTGGTGGTTTCTGTCCCTGTTAGATTCTCAGTCAAAAGGGCAAAATGACAACATAAACTTAACGGCAACGAATCAGTATGTGGATTTAATGATGATATATTGTCTTAATAAAACTTATCTAGTAGACTATGGTGGCTGGGTCTTGCTGAAGTAGAACTAGACATTCCACCGCACGTGGCACCACATAACCCTTCCCAGGTGGACCCTCAACGGGCGCAGACGAATATCTGATTTACCCGGACTTCACTTCACCCGAACCTTAGTGCTTATTCAAAATGAACAAGCATGGCACAACCCGTCCTTTTGTGGGGTCTGCAGAAACTGACAGCTTTAGCCTCGTGCCAGAGAGACATTTTAAAGTTTTTTGACTCGTGTTTTGACTTTTGAGTTTTTGTTTGACTTTCCTCAATACTTCATTTTGAAATTATATATGCTCTTCTAGGCGCTGGTTTGATAGAAAAGTGATATGCTTCCCAAAAGTCTTCATCAGGTTACTGTCATGTCGCAGAATGAGGACCTCTCGTTTAAGCCGCTTGATGATTGGACTTTTACGAATGAGAGGGATTCAGATCGGGGGGTAGTGGAACTTTTAGAGAGGGACAAATGTGAGTTTATTTTCCTTGGGATAGTCAGATTATTTGCTAATAATGTTCTGTAGCAACTGGAAAATCCCACAGTCGCATGTCGACTTTAGATCACGAGCTTGATGTAAGACAGTACATACAGCGACTCATTGGAGGGCAGGAATAACACATTTCACAGACTAGAAACAATATCCCGCATGGTATACTGTCAGTATGACTTGTCTCAAAAATGTGAATAACATCTGACAATGCAGATTCACAACCACCAAAGCCCTGGAAACCTGGGCAACTCGACAACATCGTAACTATTTCCCATCAACTTTCTGGCCAGTCGTTTCAAAGAATCTCAACGGTACTTTCGGCTGCGAATATCATAGAGATGAGAAGGGAAAGGTGCTGACCCACGGTGAGTTTCTTTCCGATTTATTCTTAATGCACGATATTGCAGCCGAATGGATAATAATAAATAGATAGATTCATGGAGTTGTTTCAAAGTAAAGCGCATCTGGAAAATGCCCAATTCATTCATGGTCTACGACCACTGGACACAGCTCGCAGTATTCGTCCGCCATAATTTCTCAACATCAACTCAACTTGTCATGTTCATCAACTGTCCAGATCAGATCAAGTCCCCGCTACGCGCTTGCATGTCGTCGATTCAATCAAGTGATCCATACTCTTGGCACGCTGCATTTGCCAGAGAAACCATGAATGTATATGATCAGGCTATTTGGGACCTTCGGGGGGTGGTATGGGAAGTTGAGGCTGTGAGTATTCCTATCTTTGGTTCTAGAGCTTAGTTACTTAGATTGATATGTGCCAGTACCAAAAGCAACTCGGAAGCTTTCAACCACAATTCACCCTCCTCCATGACATGGCGAGACATATCAGTCACAACAAGGAGATCCTTGACGTTGCTGCGGACACCGTGGAGAGTATAATCTATGAACAATCGGTGCTGGATGAGCAGCATCCCCGCCCCGCGGACAGAGTACCCTGGCATGTTAGAGATGTTTATCAACAGCTGTACCTCACATCGAAAGGAATTAGAGCGACGAAGCTTCGGTGCATTTCTCTTAGCGAGAGACTTCAGAATGAGATCAATTTGGTGAGTTTATCATACAACGACCATTGGCTTGTACTGATTAAATGAGTCAAGGCATTCAACATTGTCTCTCAACGCAACAACGAAGCCTCGGTACAGATGGCGAAGAGCGCCATGGTGGATAATACGATGATGAAGACGGTTGCCATTGTTAGTCTTGTTTATTTACCGGGGACCTTTGTGTCGGTAAGTCATCTATATCATGAGCAAGATGGATTTAGGTGCTTATCAAGATAGGGCATCTTCGGGATGAACTTCTTTAACTTCGACACCAACGAGTCCGGGACCATGGTGTGGAGTTTGTCGGATAATTTCTGGTTATATTGGCTTGTCACGATTCCCTTGACGCTTACTACGATGGCGGTTTGGCTACTATGGTTCAACCGAGATGTCATTACGCGCATCATTTGTGGACGGACAAGCGGGAGTCCAGGAGGTGAGAGGGCTAGTGTGCTGGGCGATAGGATTGGCCACTAGTACTCATGATGTAATGTGGAATGCTTCATGTTGTATGACTGATGATTGATTTTCTAGCGTACATTGACGATGGGAATGAATGAGTAAAGAAGCAATCAAGTAATATATCGATTCGCGAATGTTCATATCTATGTTCATAAGTTGATTAAAATGTGTAAGTAGATAGCGGAAATCAGCTATATATAGTGTTGAACTGGTCGAGTTGAAGACGACGGACAAAGCGCATTGCAAAGACCACTTCTGGCCGGTTTGAGCGGCTAAAATAAAGGCTGACATGAGGTTGAATCTCGTAACGCACGTAAAGTCATTAGATACATTCCAATCCACGGATTGGAACCATTAAACTATTTCAGGAATCGAAACCCACTGTCGCGATGTATGATGGCAACGCGGATGGGTCTCGCTGGGCGTAAATGTGCACAGGTGCTTTGAGGTAAAATGGAGCAGCGCCGGGTACCACCAGTCGCAAATCCAAGGCGTACACACGAGAAGTAAGGCAGGTATGGAAAGACGGAATAAAGTTCAGACGCGGCAATGTGATGGGCACTAGCAGTGTTGCTACATAGCAGTTGTCTTCCGCGGGTACCCAGTCCAAGGATGCTATAGAGTATGAGAAGGGCGGAAATTGTGTTTCGGAGTAATTCTTCGGTCTGCCAAAGAAATCTTTCTTCTTGGTTGGTGCGTCTTCATAGTATGATATTGTGTAGAAAGTAGTAGCAATGAGTCGTCCCCGAAATGACTGAAGCTGGGGCAAGTCCGGCCGATCCCCTGTGACTCGGTAATGCAAGAACAGATTGACCGTGCTGCTGATCAAACTGTGAGGATCCCGTAACGGAAGACGAAAGCTTTTTGGTGGTTCCAATGTCACAGTCAACTGGCCGTGCTCTTTCTTTGAGCGATTATCGACGACTGCGCGTTCTGCTTCTAAGCAATAGTCATTCGCGCCATTCAAAAGATCTAAAGGCGGCCATTCGTCAACTGCCGGTTTGACTCGTAATTTGATCTTGTGTACTAAGAGAATATCTCGCTTATCTATTACGGGGATATTGCGAAACAAAGCAGCTTGGATGGTATACAGGATTTTGCATTCTGGGGGTGCATAGTCATCCTTTAACTTGCCTCCAAGGCCAGATACAGAGGGATCACCAAAGCTTGGGGGAGGCCGCAGGTGAGCGTGTCGAATGGCTGGGCTGGTAATCCTATGGTTGCAGACATCCGGAGATAGATGGTCTGGCACCTCGAAAGTGAATTCAAAATGATATTTGTGACGTTCCTTGAAGAGCTTCCCAGGTGGAAAACATGAGTCATCAATTAAATATTTGAGATCCTGGAATTGACGGTAGGCCTTTCCAGTTTGTAGTCTTGTACGTTCCTCTCCTATTACCATTGTTAGATACTTCGAAGTAGCTATGCTCTATTGCGGCATACCTATAAACGATATTTCGATCCCATCCACACGAATATCACAATGCGAACGAACAGTGACTACTCCTTGGATCTTATCTCCTGTCAAATGAGAGTAAAGATATGACTCATGGGTGTTATTTTGCCCGGTTCGAAGAGCAATGTCAACCGAAAAGATATCCGTTATACTCATTGTTCTGGACTCGATTAAGTAGCGAGCTACCGGGATTGTATAGAAGACAAAGGGTTGGCATTGTAAATTCCAGCCAGACAAGTGCAGGGTATAAGGAAATTGCCAAGATTGATGACTGCATTTCGTTGTGGAGATGCTAATGCAAGCTAATGAGGTTAGCTCGGTCATGTGAAGAGTCGGCATCCCTTTCGGGTTTAGTCATAGTCATTACTGGCACAACTATGCTGCTGAGTCACATATTCTTACACAAAACGTATAAATAGGCTTTTCTTAACAACATCAACAGCCCTTATGATTAAAGACCACGACCTTTCTACATTGAAGGCTTTTCCTTACAGGGAGTAATTCGTCTAGAAATTCACAAAGAATGGTATACTAGTATATCGAAAAAACATCTAAATATACCTGAGATCCGCCAGTCACAATGAATATATATATATGAGCATACCATTGTTGCAAATATAACTAGCCATTGGGGAGTGGATCTCCCCAATGTATACACTTTGTAAGTTAATTGGGTGTCCAATACCCACTGGTGAATACACAGTTTAGGAACCGGGTCACTGGGGGATTATGATTCTATATTATCTACACATATCAAAAACATGATACCGTGACGGACGTATTACCCGATTGTCAAGACAATGAAATATACAATTTAAAGAGACATGTTGTATGCTATTACTTGCAAAACATATCCTTATCACCTGACACAAACGAGGAAGGCCTGTTATGAAGCACAAGTCTATAGATCAATGAACTAACCCACATGAAGGCTTCGTCAGGACTATCATCTCAATCGTTATATCAGCACCAAAGGCCGCACCGATCACCTTGGAGCGACCTGGTAGCCCCTCTCGATATCCCCGTGCTAAACGATGCAAGATACTAAGAACAGTTGTCGAGCTGGTATTGCCTGCACTACTGTAACACTGGTAGCTCATCCGCAAGTGATCATCAGATGACAGTCCTAAAGCGTGCTGAGCACCAGTTAGGATCGCACGACCACCCGGATGCAAAGCCCAGTCATATGTAGTGGGATCAAAGTTGGACTCTTCTAAGCGAAGGGAGGAAGAGTTAGTGATGAGGTGTCCAAATGAAGATGGCAAGGACGACTTGATGATCCTCGGGACGTCCTTGGAGATTATTGGCATAAGCCCTGACCTACATTAGCGGGCCTATTTGTAAGATATGGATGCGCGGTCCTCACCTGTGGGAATCCACCGGATCCCGACACAGCCAGGTCTGTCCACTAGTGTTGATTGAGCGCCGCGTATATTCCATATAGGCTCTCTTTCGTCTTCTTTGGCCCCGATCCCATTACTGAGTACAATTGCGGAGGCGCCATCTCCAAAGAGAGTGGGGCCAAGGTTCGGGGTTGATTCCTTTGCGATAGTCTCCAACCATGCTCTGATATAAACAGTCATGGTTTCGGTAGCAATCACAAGAGCACGGGCCGGTGTTCCCTCTTGTGTCGCACCACGCAGAAGGTCGTATGCTGTACGAAGGGCCGCTACGCTGCCAGCACAAGTGACCCCATTCAGCAAGGTCCGGCGAACGTGCTTTGAAAATCCTAGTCTCTGACAAAGTGTGCAGTCGAAGCCAGGGCTAGATGTACTTGTACAGGTCATGGCAACTACGTGAGTTATGTCCATCGGATTGCCGCCCCAGTCCTCCATGGCTTGTCTTGCCGCGTCCTGTGCTAGGGGAATACCATACTCTTTGAAGAGACAATTACACTCCGTGTTTGTCAGAATATTATCCTGAAACCATAGGGGATGGTTTGCCGGTAGGACACTGTAGCGGTTCTCGATTTCTGTTCTCTCATTTATCTCAATTATCTTTAGTAGCCTAATATAAGTACGCAGGTTAGCGCAGGTAGTGAGAAGAGTAGGGTACACTCACGCGGCATTCTCTTTGTAGCAGTTGGAAATTAATTTAGGCACAAACTCCGGTCCAAGCTTGTGCGGGGGATACTGGAGTCCAGTGCCCACTATAGAGACAACAGGAGACCGAGCCATTATCGAGGTGGGGTGGAGTATCCGGTTAAGAGAGATGGAAGTGGGAAACGAGCGCTGTTTATTTACGACGGTTACTCAGTCAGTCAGATGAATATATTTGCATGATAAAGACGAGAGGAGAACAGTTTGAAACTATAGCGCGGGATGTAGTAAGGGTAAGAGGAGCTTCCAAGGCTTGAATTATCCAAGATCATAAAGATGGTGTGTTCCTTTTCCGGTTTGTGGTGGAGAAAGAATAGGATGTGTGATATAACACGCGATGATTTCCTTCATGTTCCTGTCGTGGCTGTGGGGTTGACAAGCAAATCTTGACGGCAATCATAGGAATCAAGATATAAACCTGATTGGGAATAATTGACCCATGGTCGGTTAAGCCGCAGAACCAACATATACCTCGGTTCTTGGCATATGACTGTGACAACAAACTATTTAATGATCGGAGAGTAAGTACACCTGTAACACGATCCCCTACACTGTCTTAGATCACTTATGGTAATATGGAAGCTAACGGTATTCAACGGGCGTTTGTGAGCGGACCCACAGAGCCACCGATATGTTCAAAAACCTTTGGGCAATGGATCGATAAGCAAGCAGCTACCTACGGGAAGAAGTCTGCTATCCTGTCACCATGGCAGGAAGTAAACCTCTCCTACGGCGAACTAGCGGAACGAAGTAAGCACGTGGCCAAAGCTATATTGGGAATGGGCTTTGCACACGGTGACTATATCGGCATTATGGCTGGAAATTCGTGCCAGCATATCGAAGTGCTTTTGGGAGGAGCACGTATTGGATGCCCTGTTGTCTCCCTGCATAGCACATATACACCCGATGAGCTGAAAAGGGCCGTACGCAAAACCTGTAAGTCATTTGAGTGCTGAATATATCCATTGAATCAACGACCGAGGTGACACATAACAAAGCATGCAGGCTTCTCTTCATCGCATCTCGTATCGGTCGCCGGGACCTCTCTGCTCATGTGGAAATGATGAAGAATGGTGTATCTTCAGGCGCACTCCCAGAGCTACATGGGGTTCTTACGATTGGGCAGAACGACTATGATGGATATGCTGACGGCCTACATACGTATGAGACCCTCTTTGCGGACTACAAACAAGGTGTAACGCACCCAGATGTCGATGCAACATTTTTGCTCCAATTGGCAGAGAAAGCTGTCACGCCCGATGACGTGATTCATCTCGAGTTTAGCTCTGGTTAGCCCTTGAATACCTCCCTCAAGTCTATCCAGTTAACCAGTCCATAGGTACCACTGGGACACCAAAAGCAGGAATGTTAACAGCTACGTATGCACAAATCCCAGCCATTTGTTGAGAAAGCTCTAATGCCAAGCTAGCAACCTCCTCGGATATGGCTTTACAGTGGCCGATCGGTTGAACCTGACTCCGAAGGATATCTTTTGCTCTCCCACCCCACTATTCCATGGCTTTGGTCTTATAGTAGGGCTTTTTGCACCCTTAACGCATGGTAGCTCAGTTGTTCTCCCTTCGGATCACTTCGATGCACATGCAATCCTCGAGGCTATACAGAATCAGACTCCTACTGTCTTAATGGGTGTACCCACCATGTTCCTGGCAGAATTAGAGGCTATGGCAAAAGGACAGGTAGACAGTTCCCTGCGAGCAGCTGTGGTGGGTGGATCTGCTATCACGCCCGCGTTAACAAGAAAAATCCGTACAGCGATGAAGGCAAAGGAGACTTTTGTCATATATGGGATGATGGAAACAGGTGTTACATTCATGGGGTCCGTCAATGAGTTAGAGGGATCAACAGGTGTGGTAGGTTTTGTGATGCCGCATGTCTGCGCCAAAATTCTGAATAGAAGCGGCCAGATTGCGGGCCCAATGGAAAAGGGGGAGCTTTATACAAGTGGATTCACATTGCAAAGGGGATACCTCGCAGAGGAAAAGAAGACGCTGGAGGTGATGACACAGGATCAAGACGGGAAGATCTGGATGCGTACGGGGGACGAAGCTATCATTGATGCGAGTGGATGTTGTCACATTACGGGGAGGATCAAGGATATTATTATCAGAGGTGAGCGGACAATATAAGTCTCACCCTGACACACATGGCTAATAGGGTGGATTAGGTGGGGAGAACATTTCCCCCTTGGAAGTTGAGGGTCGGCTGGCTTCACATTCCTCCATCAGTGAAGCAAGTGTGTTAGGCTTACCTGACGCAAAGTATGGGGAGGTTGTAGGATGCTTTCTGAAATGTACGCATGATGCTCAGAGGCCGTCGGACGAGGAGTTACAGGGCTGGGTAAGAGAAACCTTAGCCTGGCACAAGACGCCAGTACACATATTTTGGATCGGAGACCCTGGCGTTGCCGATGACTTCCCCAGAACAGGAAGTGGGAAGCACCAGAAGCATATCATGAAGGAAATTGGGAAAAGGCTCATTACTGTGAGGAGTAGACGCTTGTGTGATCCTCGGTTGATGTGTGAAAGGTTGGTATAGGGTAAATAGCTCACATGATGTATATCTACTAGGACGTCACCCGAAAGGCATCTGCTGTATTTCGACACGTTGCTGTTTTGGCATGGAGAAGTTGGCAAACTGTGTCTGACATGATTATAACGAGCTGGCCTCGTCTTCCAGGTCTAGGAAATAGAGAACTCCTCCACTCAAGGCGGGGCTAATGACACTTCCATGGTCTTCATCCAGATATTCCCTCCTTTCCACAGCACCTAAATGTTGACTAGCAACAAGCTGCAAATACAGATCATTGCAGTTGTCGGCCATACGACGCTTTGCCGCCGATCCCACTCGTCGTTCGTACTTTTCCAGTGGTTCATGCCTGCGGCGTACAGGAAACTGCTCTCGGGAACCGTATGATAGCCGTACTGTCGGTCGTGTACTCATCCCTGGCCGCTGTAGAAACTTTGTTACTTTGGTGAGAATGAATTTCTCATTCCACCATATCGATGGACTCGCTGCTATATATGTATCAAAGGATGTCGGTTGTGTGAAAAGAGCGTTCAATGTAAATAGTCCCCCGTAGGAATGGCCAAACAAGGCCGTCCGAGCAAATTTAACATTAGGGAAGACGGATGAGGCCATGAACGGACGCACGATATTGTTGATGAAAGAAAGGAACCGATCTGCACCGCCATACGGTTCCGGTCGAGGTTTGCCGTCGGAACCCTCAGGCGGAGTATAGTGATCACATGGTGGAGTGAGATCCAAAGCGCGTTGAGGAGCATAGACAGAATCTTCCAAGGGGTATCCGAGTCCAACAATGATGGTCCCAGGTTTGTTAGGGTTAAGTGATGCTTGCCGCCGAGCGACGTCTGTGGCTGTGAGAAACATAGCATTGCCATCCACAGCGAATCTGCAAGCAAGTACATTAGCGCCGCCAATGGAAGCAGGCTCCACTGGATATCCAACTTACATCACATTTGCGACCGCCGATACATTTGTATCTCGCCAGGTGAGTGGCCAGGCGATCTCAACCAAGTACGTAGCTTGTGTGCCGGTTGAGACCTCCCACGCGGCCATGTTACGGCCAGAGCCGCAATCGGAGGGAGTAAATGTCCACTCTTTGCGCATGGCGATGTAACATACAGTACCGAAGTTGTTGATGTCCCGTAGTTAAAGATCAGACGATCGGAAATAGCTCGGCAGATGACCGTTAATATCTGCAGACTCAATTAGCCAGCCGTTATTTTTAACGTGAATTTCGGAGCCAGGAATTCCGCAAAATAAATTGGACCACGCAAGCTTGAATTCCTTGACCTTTGTCCGTTTCTCCGAGCCCACTATTACGACCATCTACCCAATGATGGCCTGCCCTCCAAGGTAGCAAGACGCCACATTCCACGCGGAGGTTCTTGGCATTCATTATCTGATCCGACTCTTTTCACCAGAAGAAGCGTGATTGTGACTAGTTTGGCTTAAAGCTGTGGGATTGGTTAAAGCCATGGTCATTATGGGTCTGTTCCAAAACAGAAGCCTTTTGCCTATGGCTCAATGCCCGGAGGACCAACGTTTTGACTGCTTCTTAGGCTGTTCGAAACTGCGACCATGACTCGCTTATCAGTCCCGGATCAGATTAGATCCTGGAGGAGACCCATATATTTCCTTTTTGGTCCAACTTCGTCGAATGTTTCCCAATGCGATCTAGATGGGGACGACTCACAACGCAGCCCTACCTGCTTGCGATATCCTGCAACACGAGGTCCAAGTGGGGTGCCATCTTCGATCAATTTTAACACAATCCTGGCTATATAGAATCAATAAACCGTGTTGGGTATGTGAACTTTATCTTGTCTTATTATTCCGACTTCCTCAATTATTAACTTTTTTTTCTTCTTATAATTCTGTTTTTGTTGTCTTGTATCTCGTTCACCGGTTGCACTCTGGCTTGGCCAGGTTTCTACTGAGGTCTGAGCAATGGAGCGAGTTACAGACGCTCCCAAGGAGGCAGATGATTCAATCTCTCCTCGTGCCTTCGATACAATGTCAGATGCTGCTAAGGTGGATAAATCCGGCAACCAAATAGTCGAACAGTCGACCTCGGCCGACGATGTAGAAAATCAATCCGATACACAAAGCCTTCAGGCAGGTGTGCAGAGAGCAGAGATCTTGCGAAAAGGATGGACGAAGAAGGGTTTATATACGGCCTTTGTCGGGTATGTGATAAACAGATAGTGCTATGTGATTACCGCGTCGTTACTGACTAGAATCCTTGTTCAGTCTGTTCATCGCGACACTCGCAATCAACTTTGGCGATTATTCCACCCAGGTCTATGTCCCGTACACCACTAGCGCCTTTAAGCAACACTCTGCAATGAGCGCGGCTCGCGTAGTCATGAACATCACCCGCATCGCTTCCTACCCTATCATTGCGAAGCTTGGAGATGTAAGTATACTAAGATTTTGTGAGCTGGGGTGACTGGACTAATTTTTCTATTTTCTGATAGGTCTTCGGCAGAGCTGAGATGTTTATCCTCGCCATCGCAGCCTCTACTCTTGGCTACGTGATTTACGCCGCCTGCGAAGATATCGCGCAATATATGGTATCTACAGATACGACATCAGTGGCCTTTAACCAAGCTACGCGCTAATTTATAAAACAGGTTGCTGGTATCTTTGAAGCTATCGGATCGACAGGCTACGCGCTTACGCAGCAAGTTTTCGTTGCGGATGTTACCAACCTAATCAATCGTGGTATCTGGTCTACACTTCCTGATTCCCTCACCACCGTCCCGACCTTATATTTGGGCACGATTGTCGCACAACGCATGCTGGACCACTCGACTTGGCGATGGGGCTGGGGCATGTGGGCCATCATAACGCCAGTCTGCGCGGTGCCTTTGATTGGAACAATGCTAGTCTATCAGCGGCGCGCACCAATCAAGGTTCCCATTGCCAAAGCGATGGGCTGGAAGGAGACCGACACTTGGTATCAGCGTGCATATCGTTTACTTTGGGTGGAGCTAGACCTACCGGGTGGTGTCTTGCTGTTGCTCGGATTGTCCCTATTGTTGGTCCCCATCGCCTTGACAGGTGCCAACAACAGCAACGCGTGGCATAAAGGTAACTTCATCGCTATGGTAGTCCTCGGAGTCATATTTCTTATCTCATTTGTCATCTGGGACGCCCGGTTTGCGAAGAAGCCGTTCGTGCCTTATCGCATGATTAAACAGCGGACCGTGGCAGCAGCATGTCTCCTCGGCGCTCTCGACTTCTTCCACTACTCAGTCTTCTCAGTCTTCTTCACTAGTTACCTCCAAGTCGCGGGACACTTCAACGCAGGCAACGCCACAAGAATCGAGTACGTACACACTCCCACCAAATAACATCTCTACAGACCACACAACTAACCAAAAGAAACACAGCAACTCCCTTCGTGTCGCCTTCCAAGTCTCCGGCATCTTCGCCGCCTTCTTCATGAAATACACCAAACGCTCCCAAATCTGGGTTCTAATCGGTGTCCCCCTCTGCATCCTGGGCATGGGCATCCTCCTCTATCTAGTAGACATGGGCGACGGCAAAACGGGCAACGAAGCAGCCTTTGTCACCGCCAAATCCTTAATTGGTATCGGCCGCGGCTTCTACCAAACCGCAGCACAGGTCTCAGTTCAGGCCGTCGTCTCCAGACAGGAAGTATCAGTCGTGACGGCCGTTTTCTTCGCATCGATGAGCATCGGCGGTGCCATTGGAACTAGTGTTGCGGGTGCTATTTGGCGGAGTAATCTGCCACGCAAGTTGAGCGAGTATCTGCCTGATGAGGCGAAGAGTCAGGCTAAGTCGATCTTTGGGTCGATTGTTGTGGCGAAGAAGTATCCCGTGGGTGAACCTGTTAGGAATGCCATTGATCGGAGTTATCGCGAGTCGCAGCGGTTGTTGGCTATTGCTGCTATTTCGGCGCTTGCGCCGATGGTGATTATTATGTTCTTTTTGAAGAATGTGCATTTGGATGAGAGGCAGACTGCGAAGGAGGAGGTAGATAGAGAGATGGTGGAGCAGAAGAAGGGTGATGCGGAATAAGCTGCTTGTTTCGATGGGCTGGTGTGGTTGGGAGTGAGTTATATCTATTGCCTCTACTCTGCAGGTATATTTAAAGCATTTATAATGGACTTCTTATATAAATTTAGGGTCACTTTGTCGTGGAATAGTATATAACTGACTTAGAATGAAAGTACATACTATACGAATCACACTTGAGATTATTAAATTGCACTTGGCATCCATTCTCTGGGTCAGTCTCGATACCTGTACAGCGCTGACTTCGATCTTGCCTCTCCCGGGGCATCGTGCCATATCGATCACAATAACTGTATAGTGACTGGGACTAGTTATGTACACCAACCTCGCTGGCGCCAGCTTATAGCGCGTGCAAGCAACAATTGGACAGTGCAAGAAAACCTGGTTGTCAACGCATGCAACTCTACGTCGACGAGTGTTTATGCTTACAAGAAGGCCTTCAGCGCAACCCGACTGGGGATGCAGTAGATCTGTATGAAGACAAGCGGTATTGGGAGCACCCTTCCATCTTCCCTCTCGACCGCCATTACAATGCAAGAAAGAAGGGATAAGATGGTCCCGAGAAAAGAAGATACAATAAGTAGATTATGTCCTAGGGAGTCGTCCGATTGATCAGTTCACCGTTAGATGTCAACAGTAAAATAGGGTTTATAGGGGACGCCTGATACCTCAGAATATTTATAGCGGCTTTTCCTTCTTTCCCAAGGCCACACATGTACGTATGACACATCTTTGAACTTTAGGTGGTACCTTTAGCAATGCAATTGAAGATATTTATCCTTTGCTTCTTGCCATTCATGCTTATAAGTATTGGCGGTGTTGACACAAACTTTAATAATCATCAGCCATAGTATGGCAAATGGAAGGAAAATAGTAGTAGGCGTTCCCAGCAAATATACATATATATATTCGTTCCCAGCAAAGACAGAAGGATATGCTACCGGGAAATGTAGCTTGAATTATAACCAAGTTATCCGCCCAACGTTGCGCTATGACAATCAGACCAAAGTCATCCTCTTAACGCATGTAATCTGTGCTTATTTGACTTTGGAAATAGTTACTGAAAGCCCCCGTTAGGTATATACAAGGAAGCAGCCTAGTCTAACTTACGAGGCATTGGAAATACTTCTTTATCAGAAACAGCAATAGCAATTCCGTACTTACCACTAAATCCTTAGGTTCTGCAACCCCTGGCTGCTTCCCCTGGCTTACAAATTCCTTTGGGGGTTATGAGCCAGTGGCCTAACTGTAACGAAATAAACATCTGATGGCTCAGTCTGACAGATTTGGTACTTGTCTACTATCAAAGTGGCCAGTCGTCTGGCTTATGGGTTCACCGGGTTTACTAGAATAATAGGAAGCTGAAAACCTCTGACGTGTCGGCCTTACCTTGAGGGTTCAAGGCATTAATATTACTCGTATATCCGAATGGACTCTCTCAAACGACAAATGACATGTGGTTAGTACTAAGAGTGAGTTATAAGAAGTAGTTTGGGTCACATATACAAACCAATCACGCCATAGTGGGCAGGTCGATCTAGATCGCAACCGTAACAGGTGGCACCAACTGATGGTGATTGATCTCCTTTTCTTCAAGTGCGAATTGTCTATCATTCATACTCTTGTAAGGCTTTATTAAGCGACTGGGGTATTGTGCGCCAACCCAACTACTTGCAGACGTCATGTAATCATTTGCCACGTGCATTGGCTGTTGATGGTCGCATCTGACCTCCTTGTATCTACTTCATATATAGAGCTACTTTACTTATTCGCCGGTTTTACCGGGACGAAAAGCGCTACCTCGCAAAATATGGTGAGTCGTGAGAAACGTCGAAGGAAATGGTACGGTTGGATAATAGGTCCAGCCGGTTTCTGAATTTTTAACAAGTCTTTGGGTGGTTCATATTCAGATCCCAAGCGTCAGGATGAGTTATTCCAAGAATAACCATTTCTGTACGAAATGCTATGTCAGTGGATGCACATTGGATTTATACATGTCATACATGTTCCACCAGAGAACCCGAGAAGTTGGATTTCGTGTCGTATTATATTCTCTCGATAGATATTCAGCGAATACGCGGTTTTGAAAGTTGTGAGGATGCTGGCTTCCTCACTAAACAGTTAACAGAAAGGCATCGTTCACTGTGGCCCTGACTATATTTTACATAAGGGCAGCATGGTGGGTGAATATGTCAAAGCTGTTCAATGCGATAGGAGGGGTTTAAGCATTGGACCTGGTAGAGGTTCGCGAGGAATACTATTTAACTAAAGGGAGACTATCCTAGAGTCATAGCAGCGATCTACTTTATGTGTGGCTTTTATTACTATCGCAGCGGTAGTGGCCTGGGCCCTATGTCTCAAATGCTGTTTAACGTCAGTGTTTAGAATATTGGAGACAAATTCAACATCCCAAAATTCAAAGGGTTTTCGAGGGAAAAGTTCCCTCTTGTTATAGAGACATACTGTGAGAGAGATAGAGGCAGAGGATTTGGAGATACACCCGTTGACACATCCGTGAAGCATAGTAAAGTCGTGTTGGAAAACGAGGATTTCAAAGAGGTTTTGACTGATATTTTGCTACAAAACAACGGACCTTTCTCAAAATGGTGCACGCGACAGTAAATTCCTTGTTTACTCAGTCTACTAACATTCTTTTCCTATCAACCACGATTTAATCATTCGGCGACTTGCTGTTATATAACCTTTGCAAATTTAGACACTTGTACAACCCTCCGAGCAGTGTATACACAGGGACCTTACTATTGGAATACAACTATCTTGGATGGTACAAGCCATTCTGGAAGCTGACGATATCTCACTTTACGTGTTTGCCTTTGCATTTACAGCGTCAGCGTAGCTACAGGAGTGCACGGTGTATTATCCCACAGATTCACGATTTGCTAAACTGTCCACTCGGCTAGCTAATATGGTACAAAATGCTATATATTTTATGGGGTGATGTTCAGAGTGCCAATACCATCAAGACTTGCGATTTATGGATAGGGGGACAGACGTGGACCAAAACCAGATGGAAAATAGCTTCAATGACTGTCCTGACCTTCATCTTAGATACATTGTTCTTCATACATCATGTATCGGCCAGGTAAGGGCTAGTAAGCATCATGCCTAAGCTGGCCCCAAACAGCTTTTCGCCTGGGCGACGAATGTCGAGGTAGCCGATTTGAGCAAGTCCAGTTGCTCCTTTGTCGTGGTCTGTGCGAATTCTGTCAATTCGGGACCCTGTAAACAAGCAGATTAGAAACAAGCCCGCCTAATATACCTGCTCCGCTGTTCCTTACCATTTTACCCAAAAGCTCTTGCCAATCAGATGGAGTTGGTACGTTATTCTCCGCATTTTCGACCATGGCAATAATGTCGGCAGAATATTGGTTAAGCATATCAGAGACTTGGGGTGCTTTTTCCTGTGTTTTTTCTATAACAGCCGCAAGTTCCCCCTTTGCTGCATTGCCTATGCATTCTAGTTGAGTGGAAACTTGTCGGTTATGAATTGGTGTAGCAAAGGTAAGGCCTACAGCGGCAAGCGAGCATAGCGTCTGGACCTTCATGTCGGATACTGTCGGACGGTTTTAACTGATGTCCAAGTGATTGTAAGAGAACAAGATATCGTTGAATCTAGTATCAGAAATTTTAAAAGAGATCAGCAAAACAAAGGGAGAATCAGTATATTAAGGAACAGAAGGTTCAATAATGGCCTCCATGGCCCTTATATATACTAGGCAGGAGAGGGAGAGAGAGCCTTGGTATGGACTATTCGGAGTAGGCGACTTCAATCGCCCCACGGCACTATTGATATACACGGGCATATTTACGGGTCAGGGTGGACCCTTCAGATTCATTCTGCATAGGCTCTCCTAATATAACTCAAGGCCTAAAGTTCAAGGTGACCATCTGCCGCTTGATAGATTTGAGAATTAGTTTTCTGGAAATAGTTTCCATAGAAAGGATTGGATTTGCCAAGACCTCCTATTCTTGACTCGTACTGAGGCAGAGAAAGGATAGTGTTGATCCTGTGGAGCAGTTCGCTTCCAGATCGTGAGTGGAACTCCATGGACCCACTGTTGCAAGCGTGGTCCTATTACATATTTTGCATTTCGTATAGCTCGCCAACTAAAACTAGCAAAGTTCAAAGACGGAAATGATGCACAACATACATTAGATCATCTCTATTAGGATCTGCAAACCCGCGTATATGTACTAAGCAATGATCTTCAGGGAAGTTTTCAGCTGGAATGTTTTAATTTCACATTCACGGGGTCCATGCAGCAGACCCAAGAGCAAGAGCAAAGGGTTGAGTGAAGTGTTAGTCGTTGGCTCAGTTTAATTACCACCTCTTACTTACTTCTTCCTGAGCCAGTGGGTTTTGCTTGCGGTAATTCTAATAGCACCAGAGCAGAAAGGGCTTCTAGGAGATTGTATTGAACTGACGTTAAGCTATAAAAGTGATTATATGACCAGACAGTAGAAAGGTATATTCTAATATTGAATATTCGTGGACTTGATGTAAAATTCAGTGGGTGGTAAGCTGAGGTAGGGCTCGGAATGGGGTAAGCGCAGGATGTATTCATGCACATTCTTCGACCCCTTCCGCGTGGGCTTGCGTAAGGGAATTAGAGTTAAGTGACTATGTATATAGCATTGTGCTACAAATTTATGAAGTATTCTATTATTAGCATCGCAAATACTGACCGTCTAAAATATTCTCCATAGCTGAGTACTTGGGTCCCACCACATAGCGTTAGGTTGGACCAGCTGAATATGATGCACGCAGCCCTAGCAGAAAAGTTTGCACAATGGTTTCTGCCTTGCGTCTAATAGGCAAAATATTAAAAGTTGGAGATATATCGGCAGTTAATACGTTAACTGGTTTTATTACCTTCTTATGAAAGCCTACCAACGCATTAGTTATAATATAATTGGTATATTCTTTGGTACTTCCCTGCAGGGGGTAGACCTACGCAATAACTATTGGAAATATATATAGTACCGCTATTTTCCTATAGCTCTATACCTGTATAATATCTCATCTTTCCAATCTATATTAATCTCATATCGTCGAGAACCAGCTAGGCTGCTCACTCGATCAAAGACGTAGTTAGGAAGGAAGAGGGAACTTCTCCAGAAATCCTCCTTGAACACCTAGACGACGGAAGGACGGCTGTTGGCTAAAGAAATGACAGAGAACGACGAAGCTTCGTCGTCTAGTGATCAACATTGATGATCCTACGCAACGTCGTATCTATTCCCGAGCTTAGAAACTGCTCAACAGATTCCGACCGTCCGATGCAAGAGCCGATTCCACAGTAGTGGAAGTCCATCTTTCCAGGAAGATTGTCGTAAACGGGAACGAAATACAAGCACGATTGATGGGGTGAGAACCTCTGCCGGAGATCACAGTACACTCAGATCCCAAATCTGATACTATACAACCTCTGGATGTTTCATCTCAACTGTACGGATCCGACGGCACCCTGAGCTTACAGCAATGGCGTAGGCAAATGGGATTCAATGTTTAAGGCTTTTGATATGTATATTCTACTTTCTTCCCATGCTGCATCATCAATGCAAGTCCGGAAGACAGGTTATACATATATCTTTCTCAGGGATAATGTTGGAGGAAAAATTAAAAAATCAATATGTTGCGTCGTACGTATTGTTACCAGGTTCAACTTATAGGCGGCGGAGCTTTTGTTTTTACAACATCTACGACTCTTAGATGTACGTAACCATGCAAATAATATCCAACCAACTTCACTGCTAGTGGAATATGAAGCTATTGACTAGCCTACTTTCTTGTTGTATGCCTAACTAGCACAAGAATATGAGAAAGCCAATTGGCTTTTCGAGTGGTCCTGCCCCTTGTGCTGTAATCCTTACGCCTATAGACACGCAATCTTGGACACGTTTGAGTTAATCTACCCTGACAATATTCGATGATTCATTTTGCTCTTCCATGAGATGAGATTCAGCTGACGGGTCCTCGGCATTGCTTTCGTCCTTACGATCCAGTCGAAACTTGAGCCCACCGACTTGTTCGATCCATGTCTCTGTCTTCGCATCAACCTGGCACTCATCGGGATGCACCAAATTTGTGTAAAGTCGCCCGACGGAGCTCAGGTTCAGCTGCTGTCGCAGTTTCGAGAAGGAGAAGCGGGAAACGAACAATGCAACGAGGAAGGCAACTAGCACCACGACCCACAAGGCTAACGTGATGAACGCCGGCACGGCATATGGCAGATTGTACTCGATCTTCCGCTGGAAAGGCTCGATGCGGACCTTCTTGTCACCAGAAGGCACTGTTCCTCCCAGACGACCGGTGTCGCTACCACTCAGACCGATAGGGGTCTGCGAGCCGATGGTCGCCGTTGCCAGAATGTCGGTAAAGATCAACTTCAAAATCGTAGCAGCGCCCTGCTCACCACCGGCGGACAGTTGCTGCCAGCGTCGCGACAGCGCAAAGTTCGACTTACCTGTGTAGTCTGCAATGGGCAGATCTGTGGTCCACCTTGAGGTAATTTGGCCCAAAAAGCTCTCACCGAGGGCTACATGCTGGGCCGCCAAGGGGGCATAGCTGGCAGCCATGCTGTCCTTCGCGTTGACAACGCTAGCGCTGTCTGGGTACGCTGGTGGAAGGAGGAGCCTCTCCGATTTTATGGTAATGAGGTTCTTGGAAGCTGTGTATTGTTCGCTGATAGGGCCCCAAAGAGGAGCAGTTACCGAGGCCGGCTGTCCGGTGATCTCAATCGCCCATAGCGGCTGCGCATCATGAGTGTCGTACACCTTGTCTTTCACGCTGGACACAATAAGATCGTCCAGTGTCGAGCTTCCATTAAGAGCAAACTCGACGGTTCTGATAGATGCCTGGACAGCACTCGTGCACATGTATATATCCTGCTCCCACTCCGAGCCTGCCTCATAGATTCGCGGATCGGCACCGTCCAACCGCCGCGGCGCGGTCTGGATCAGTCCACAATCAATGCCCACCGTGGAATTATCAAGAGGTTCGCTGGTGTACTGGGAAATCAACCCACGACACGCCAGGGCTGTATCTTGGAAGCTCCACAAACTATTCGAGGTATTAAAATCGGAATTTATGAAGAGTCCGTCGCTTCCAGGGATCTGGATCGAGTCCGGCCGGTAGGCATTGTGTTGGTCACCAGTGAGGCTCCCATTTAGAACCAGAGGGTATTCTTTATCCGACGTAACATTGCGAGGGGCGCTAATATTGGGACTAGCCAGTCCCAATGCCCACATTAACATGCCGTTGTGGAAAAACGCGAGCTGCGTTGCTCGAGTACGTAGGTCAGGGTTCGCCTGCATATCCTCTATATTGACCCGGGGACCCTTAAGTGGAAGATTAGAAAACCCGCCCCTGTCTTTGAGGCGGACATTGTGCGATTCGACTCTGTTACCATTGTAGTCTGTGTAGTTGAGGGTGAATCGGATGCTGAGATTGGTGTTCACGCATTCTATCAATGGCTCCAGCCAAGTGATATCCTCTGCCCAGCGTCCTCCCGTTGGAAGATTGGCCGGCACTGTATGGTTGCGATAACCCAAACCGCCCCTTGTACTGTCAACGATCAGACCCTCAATTGCTTCGATCTTATCGTGTAAGATGAGATTCTCCATCACCCGGTATGACCCAACTATATATGGCTCGCCCTTATCCACTTGGTCCATAGACCTTGGGAATACCTGTCGGTATTGAATGTCGAAGGGTCCCGATACGGTATTATTCGTCCCAGAGGTAGCGCTCGAGAAGATTTGGGTCAGGTTGTAGGGCATTCGTGCGGAATATGTGCCATTATTAGGGATGATGTCGTGAATGGTCTTGTTGACGAGGAAGTACGCATCTGTCCCATTGGATCCAGGACAAACAACCCAGCCCGACCCTCCACAACTTCGTGAAAACGGTGCGTCGGGGCGCGGTGGAGTTCCAAGGCCATACGGCGACTTATCTGGCACATAGACAAAGGGCACCGGGGTAGCCGCAGCCGGCTTGATTCGATCGCGTAGTCCCAGAGGAGTTATGATGCCCGTAATACTGACGAGGACCTGGCCGATAGTGATCCCCCACCCAAGACAGAACACCAGCCAGCTGACTCGCTTCGATGCTGAAGTGTCTGCTCCTATGATGGAGGGCCAGATGGTTGCTTGGAGGACGCGTGTTCCCACAGACCTATTGGTTCTTCTTTCTCAGTGAAGCACCAGAGACTGGCTTTGTGAGTCTGTAGAGAAGTCCCTACCAGGTAATGGCATTATTCTCCTCGGGAAGCTGCCAGCTCAAAACGTAGGCGATACCTAGCGGGAGGGTAATGCCCACTTCAGCACGAATCAGTTAGTTCTTCGTCCGGCATGTTGTCAAAGTGAGCATATACCGATCGCAACGCCAAAGTTAATTATACCCGAGGCTTGTCCAACAGTTAACTCCATGGCATCATAGAATATCTGTCCACCCCTTGTATGTTATTGAGATAATTCTTGTGCACAAAAGAGTCGTTTTGTAAGGACCTTCTCATCACATGTACTGCCCGCCAAAGCGCCAGCCCCAGTGATCGACAACAAATACGAGCAACAGAGTTAACCAATACGAAGATCCTAACTGCAAAGCGCATAAGCAATAAGAAGCTTTTGCAAAGATTCGCCATAACTATTGTTGTGCTGCCTTCTTTATCGATTAGGGAGGGTTTCAGCACAGCAGTGGTCTATCGCTGCTCCGCCAGTCAAGATACAAGTCTCGATTGACAGTGGGGAACATGAGCAACACGTGCGGCTTCACGAATATTGCAGCATTCTTATTTTGTATTTATTTATTTATTTTATTTTATTTTTTTTTTAAAAAAAATGCATATAGTTGATGAGATCGTTTCCTCGTATTCAAACTGAACTTTTAGGGTTTTAGGCACCTACAGATACAAATAGGCAGTGTGGTCGAAATCCCGCGGGTGCCCCACGCTTGCCGGTTACGTTATGAGGAACACGCGCAGCAGGAGATGAAGAAGACAAGGCGAAAGAGCTAACTAAAGTAAAAAAAATGGACGAAAAACAAGAACAAAAACATACAACAGGAGGGATTCGCTGGTGGTCACCCACCCAACTACTAACCTCCCGGCGTGTGGCTTAAGTACGGCTGAGCGGACGGGAAGCCCTGTTCTCCACACCCTATGGTCGTATGTACTGATTTTGTGGTTGTAAAAGAGTAAGTAGGGCATGTTATTCGAAACAGCGCTCTGCCTTTTGGCTTCTTCGTCTCGGGAATAGTATCACGTTCGACGCCAGCTATGTCCATGGCTATGAAGCTTCGATTAACAAAACGTGCCAATTCTAACACCCAAGGAAATACTCAAGGCAATAGGTTGCAGTTATCCGTCCGATTCAAATTTGATTTACTTGACTAAAGGTAGCTTCACAGATATCATTTTCAAGATTGCCAAGTACTATTTGACCTTAACTAGACATTGCTATCGGAGATCACACTGCATGTTGGAAACATTCTGAAAGCTCTTACGGTTCTCAGCGTTCTCTATGATGAAGTTGTGCCATCTTCGCAATAGGTTTCCGCGTTGCACAGCCGTAGTTAAAGAGTAGTAGTTCTTCTTAAGCTATATTTAGACTTTCAATAGATAACTGGATACCGCTTAAGTTATAGTCTACTACAGTCTCAAAAGCCCGGGGTGTCGATAGCTCTGGTAAATAATAAGATATATATTAACTGAGTGAATCCTTAGAAATAAACTATATATATTGAAAGTTTACTCTTTCCTGACCCAGAGACTATTGATAAAATACGGGTTTTGACAAATAGTCCCAGATCTTTGACAACTGCTATACTGTTTGTGACAGTCTCTAAATACCAGTCAAAAGAAGTTATACGTATTGTAGATATATCTTTTGTAGAAAAACCCGGCTAAAGTCTTACTATCTTACTTATATAGTTTATTTTATATTCTATCTATTGTCTCTCCCGGGATATCACTTCAGTGGAGTAGTATAGCTATTTCTGAATATGCCCTCAGTCCGACAATATATAGTATACTGTGAATTATTATCTAGTAAGGCCAAGGCCTCCCGGAGCTGCCAAGAGAAATTTGATCTTGCTCCGTAGTTCAGCTATAGATGCTGCTGCTCCTCCTGTGATCCACTTTGGAGGGTCCTAAATAATACTATATAAACATACAACTACGTGAAAGAGAACACACCAAATGATATTTGTTTCTTAACCAAATACAAGCGACACGTCCATCAAAGGAGCAAGGCGCATCTGGGCAATGAAATACTAGTACTCCAGCTCTGAAGAAGTTGCTCACCTGGTATGCATCCGGAAAGTATATATATATCATCCCGGAAACGAAATTATGTCGCTCATGAAGCTAATTGCATTTCCTCCCCGAGGAGGAGATCTCGGAGAGACGCTATTGGATAATGCAGGAAATCAGGAGATATCAGTCGCATTTCTCCGAAAGGTTTCCTAGGGCTTGGAGTTCCGAAATTTTGCATGTCATATGACTGATGCCGAGTCTGAGCTTTGCCGACTGTAACACAGACGCGTAGACCTCTTGTTCAGTGTTTTTTTCTGACCTAGAAATGATATCATGGGACTATCAGACGAGGGGCCGCACAGATTTAATAATACTCTATTGTGACATACGTGGATTCCATTAGTACCAATATGGCCATTGCAATCGGTCGGTCTTGATAAACTTCTACACTATCATCAAGACACCAAACACCAAGACACGAAGATGAGCTCGACAAAAAGCGACGTTTCTCCTGACCTATATCATATTGTCTTATCGACCACTCATATCAGTAAAGACCCGAATAACATCATTGAAAAGGTCCGCATCCCGGGCACGTACACATCGCTGCGGGCAGCCAAGGCAGCCGCGCACAGCTGCCTTTTTGATGCCGGGTACGAGAGGGAATTCTTTACCCAGTACGAAACCAACAAAGATGTATTCGAAGATCGCAATCTCTCAGACCGACAGGGGCTCGTTGTTTTTGCAGTAGCCTCAGACGGTACCACGTTCCGGGTCCGCATTGACACGACGGCAAATAACATGCGATTGATCACGGATTATGAGGATGGTCGGATTCCCATCCCTCTCTATTATATCATACAAACCACGTTTATATATAATGGAGAAAAGGAAGTGAGCAAGGTGCGAGACCTGAATGTTCTAGGTGCCTATGTCGATTATCAGGAGGCGAGAAAATTAGCCGAGCGTATCTTACTCTCGGAGGAGGATGGCCTGAGCAAAGAAAGTTATGAGGCATATTATGAGGCATCGCCTGATGACACAGACTGTGGATATGGCGAGAACGTAGTTGTGCATGCGGTGAGCCAGTATGGTGAAAATTATTCAATCAGTGTGATCCAGACAAAAAGGCTGGAAAATGTCGCTTTGGCGGAAGCATCCATGCGAATTATGTGGAATCGTATTTGCTTCATTTTGGTTATCACGTTGAAGCTTTGCATGTCTTCTTTTCCTCATTGCTCTTCTCTTTTTCTCATTTTTCCGCCGACGTTTTATCCTATGTGATGCAGGCCTATGACGTCCAGTTGTCTATTTACTTATCTTACACTTTTTAACCCAAATGTACGGGATAGGATAAGTTGTCGAATCCTGAAGGAACTATACTAAATGGAAAGCTATATATATCCTCAACTGGACGTTCAATAAGTACAATAGAATCTCGCGAATGCCATGCACAACCGCTGTAGTACCCCAACTGCACTTAACTATAAAGGGGGAATAAAGGCCAATGTAGCAGTGATTCAATGAAAGTCGGGAATTACTGGTATAACCTCGCGGCAAGCCCGGAACTATATATACCGCTTGAAAGTACGTTACGGTGGCCGCAGGATGAGTCTTTCTGACATCCTCATATATCACCTATCATATATATTGAGTGTATGGTTGAGCACGGTGCTCAAACAGAACGAAATAGGAAATTGACACTGCAACGTATACACAGAGTAGTGTATACGTGTTTTTGGACATAATATCCACGTGTTCAAAAAGGTAAAGGCACGACAAGTATGCGCCCGAGGGCTTATGCCAAATTAGATTGATCAAATTAAACAGGTTTCTCAACAGCAGAACAATTAGTTATATTAATTTTTACAATCAAATTGCATCAAGGGAACTAGTACCTCCCTTGACCCTGCACTGGCTGTGACATGGGCTATCTTTCATGAGCTTCATCATGGATCAAATACGTCACAAGGTGTTTATGATAGAAGACCGATGTTCTCTCGTACTTTGTGCACGTTTTTCCTTTAGGAGTTCACAAATTACCTAAAAAAAGGCAATAAGGCTTTTTTCAGCTTCGTCACCACCGCATACAGAGACCCCAGGCACAGATGCGAGCGCTCCCATCAATCCAAGATACACATGCCGGTAAAGGTACCCCACAGAATTTGCAAAAACATAAACCCGAGGTGGGATCGGGTGTACCGTGACGTGCACGGGTTACACCAATATATCAAACACCTCCCAGAGTATATTTTTCTTTACCTTTGGTGGTGACCTTGGAAGGTCTAATAGCGTATAGACAGCCTGCTGAGCACTTCTCACACTGTACTCAATACTCAACGTAGTTTCGTCCGGAAGCTCAGTAAATTGACCAAGGCATGCAATGTTGGTAGTCGCATGAGGGACCACCTCTGGACGATCTTGGCTACTACGTGTCAAAAAGGGGGCGGTTCCCAGCGGCATCCCACAAGGGATAGTAATTGACTTAGCGAGTATGGGTTGTAATGGGAAGCCCAGGTGGGAAAGAACCTCGGTAAAAACCTCCATGCCAGAGCAAGCAAACATGGGTTTGTTCACGAAATTGCCCTCCCTCGCAGGGCTCAGTGCGTATCCACAAACGACATGTCTGTCAGCTGGCTGGGATGGAAACACCGGATGGTGTGGAACGCTGATCGTTATCAACCAATTACTGTCTGCCAGGGATAGTGTATCACTAGTCCCGGCTGGATCATAGGTGAGCTTGTCATATAGCCGCATGAAATCCGTCCCCCGTACAGTTGTGGTGAAGGTCTCAATCCCAGATTCAAGAGCTCGTGAAAGAAAGTTAACTGGGTTTCCAAATTTGGAGGACTTGCTAGAAAGCCCTTGCCATAATCTCCACTCACGCATCAAGAGATCCTCCCAGTTGGAGGACAAGAATGGTGGGGAGGCCACATTCGTACCATAAACCGCACCGGAGCGTGAAAAACCCAGGTCAACCAAGCAGATATCGTCAGAGTCCAGCGAAACGAGACATTCCTCTCCATCCTTCAACAATGCTATCTCAAAGACTGTTTCTGGGTCACTCTCAGGATAGAATCTGATATCTGATACCTCGATGTTGAAGCGAAAATCAACCTTTTTGTCCTTCAAATAAGCAATGATCGGGAGGACGATAGAGTGGAATAGGTTATATCTGGTCTTGATGGACCCACTGACATGTTTGAGGGACCGGATATCTTCCAAGTATTTGCGAAGATGTCTTTGAAACTCACTCAAACTATGCCATGGCTGGAATGCAAATCTGTCTATCAATTAGCGTATTTCAAAACAAACATTATGGGATGGGAGAGAAATACGTCGTAGACCAGTACAGCCAGAACCCTGTGTCAAAGAATGACTCATCGAAAGCTTCATTGATCTTTTTTGAAGCTAATGTTTTCTCACTTTCTAGGAGGAGCTTGACTAGCTCAAATCGATGCTTTAACCCAACTTGGTACCCTCCTGTGTACACAGTATCTGAAGCTGATGCTTTTAATTTTATCGCTCCCAGTGCCCTGTCGGCTTCTGGGTGTGACTGTTGCTGTCTACCGAACTCGCGAATGTCGTCCAGCCGTGACATGTCGGGATCGAGGATACTAGGCACGAGGCACAACAGGCTCTCGATGCAAGTACCATGGAAATGAGGGAGGCACTGGTATGGCAGAAAGTACCCGTTCTCTGCATCCCCAAGTGTAGCCATTTCTCCTTCAAAGCCCGGGTGAAGATCAAGAATATGGATATTTGGACCAAGAACCTTGCCTTCCCTTATCAAGTAAACAGCGGCAGCTAGGGAAGCCACCCCGTTGCCGACTAACCAGGCATGGATGTTCTGTGCATCTCGTTTGAATTCCCTTGGGTTGATATTCATTGAAATGACTTTTGTATATGTTTGCGATGTAATTGTAGACTTGCCATATGACTCTGGAATTCTCCCTTCTAGGGAATGATATCTATATAGGAATATTCCACGTGAAGATGAAAATTTATGATGTCACCGTATGTGGAGTGTAAGTTGATGTTTATTCCACGGGGGTTCGAGGCACTACGAAAGTCTACTTGCCCGCTGGCGGAAAAATTCGGAAAATACTTGTAGAAAACGTGTTACTTCCTTCGTATCGAGAGATTTGGAGCAGTGGCATACACCCCTGGATGTTCCTTGGCTAATTGGAGATGGTGCTGGTAACTGGTCTCAATTTGTGCGCCGTGTTAATCCCAACATCCGGGCGTACAGCTGACTTTCCAAACCGTGTGTTAAATTTTACGTAAGGCATATTTCACACGATCTAATGACATTATTAGAGAACCATAGGGAAAGTATTCTGGTTCTGGAAGGTCTTAGTCTGTTCAAAAGACCACAGGCTTTTGCCCTCTCGGTCGGATCTGAGTATCATGACTGCAATGCCATCGGCGCGACATATGATACGCGATACTATAGTCTACGCCTGCCTATAACGTTACTATACAATATTGCACTAGACTCAGCCGATATCGTATAGCTCAACATGACGTAAGTTAAAATTCTGGGTTCTCAGATTGAAGGTAATGTGATTGGATCTACATAGTAGATCCTGTCATATGACTGATAATGATACTTTCGAGTTCAGTTGCGGAACATGCGAACAAACACGAACTCCGGGCATTCCGAGGGGATATTTTTTATTTATTCAATCTTCACAATGGCTATAATTATTGCTTCGGCCGACAGAACCTGCAGCCGGGGGAAGCTACTGCAGCAAATCCTACAAGTTGCTCGTTTTTGATGACCGAGCTCTTGCTTCGTGTTAGTGAGCGAATGTCCCATATCACGCCACTTTTCTCGGCTTTGTCGATCAATGACCCTTGTTTGTACTTGCTATGACACACTTGAGCTTGAGTATACTGACTCTTCTCTGAGCGTGGCAACATACATTACTCAGACTAGGGCTTTCGCGGTCCAGAGCCGAGCAATGCAAAATAGGGAATGCAAGTCACCCTAAATTACCGCAAACCTCGAATAGAACAGGGTAGTTGGGGATTTAATGTATTGAAATTTGTTCATATTCAGAAGCGAAACTGACCTTGCTGACAGTCGTATTCAATGTTTTCAAATTCGAAAGTTAACTTTCCGATTCCCATCGGCGAAAAGTCTTCTCGGGATAATTCTTGGTGCGGGCCTCCTTCACATGTAGGACGCCCTTCTCTTGCCTTGAAGGATCAGATATCCAATGTGGATGATGACATACTAATAATGGTGCACAGATTGTTTATGCAGGAATATCGGAGCTTGTAACCGATGGTTCAGATGGCAAGGTTACACTTGCCATTCGCAATGCCACACAGCTGGTGGACTTCTTCGTATATAGGTTGGTAGTTCACGGTGGTCATGTACTTTCCTTTGCGACGAGCGAGTTTATATCCCATCTACGAAGCTATGGAAAGAAGAATAGGACGAAGATAGTCGCCGTGGCCGTGCCGCAAACCCTTGTCAACAAATGGCCATCACTATGCTCCCATCTCTGGAAAGACCTTGATGCCGTCCCTTTAGTGCTGGAGTGTAAAGACCGTATTAGGCAGAAAAATGAACCCGGTGAGCTCGCTACGTTTTTAGGCTGGGAGAGAAAGGAGCTCGATGAACAGGCAGATTCAATGGCGCGCAAATGTCTAGGGTAATGTTACAATGGAATGCGGTTGCTCAACAGAACCTTCATTCTAACATTGTATAGGTCATTTGGTATTGGACATGTACTTCACAACCATATCTGTGCTGATGGCATGGTTGAGGTTGACAGGGGTTTTCGTGTCCACGTTGGAGATCAACGAGATTATGAGGAGACCGTGCATCCGGACACATGGAATATTGTCCAAGGCTTTGCAAAAGATCTCATGGAGAGGAAAATTAAAATAGCAATTTTCAGTATGACATGTGAGGGGAAGCCTGATGTGCATACAAGGCACGCGTTTGTCAGATTCTCTCAGAAGCTTGGAGTAGACACGAAATGGTGAGTGCCTTAGCCTCGTTAGTGCCCTCATCAGATGAGATTGATTAGTCCGATACTGCAGGTATGTCCCGAAGCCACGGCCCAGTATTCTTCAAATTGTGAGGAAGATGGAAGATACCATGGAAGGTTTGACTGGACCGGACGAATACCTTGGGACAGATGACGAGTTACGGCTCCTGGAGTTCGCCTATGAAAATGCGAGACGATACTGGCTACGAGAAAATGGACCCCTGCGGCCTCGCCTAGAAGGTGGCGCAGACGTGGTGATAATTGATAGTGCACCCCTGTTGACGTTGGCACTCCTCGCGAAGCAATGCGACCCGGAAAGACCAGTTATTTTTGAAAATAGATTGCACGTTCAGCAACAGAGATTGCTTGAGGATTCGACAAGCCCACAGACTCGCGTGTGGGAATTCGTGAAAACAAGGCTAAAGCATGTTGATATTTTAGTCTCTCAACTACCTCGTGAACTGACACCGTCCATCATGCCGGATAGGAATGTCGGGTATATACCGGTTACAGTCGACCAGTACGACATTATCTTTCCCTCAAGGTGGTATTCCCTAACATTTATATAGATTTGACGGATTTAATAAAAACATTGCGGCCAACGACATCACATTTTACGGACGGGAGTTCAACTCCTTATGCAGGGTATTGGGATCCCCTACCACATCGTATCCTGATGGTAAGGCCACTTCTCCCATGTCGTGAGGGTCGATCCTAGGTAAACAATGTGCTGACGGCTATAGAGGAATATATCCTCCATCTCTCACAATTAAGACCAGGAGACGGGACAATCCCTCTGCTCGATGCGTATGCGAACTTCTGCGAAGGATATATCGCAACGAAACATGGTGCAGCATCCCCACCTAAGCTGTTGATTTGTCACCACGGCCCATCTAAAAGCCCGGAAAACTCGCTTACATACGACCGCTTGCTGGCACATATCAACACTAATATGCAGGACCTTGCAGATCGGGTCTGTATTGTGCAGGTCGGTCCTCAGGATCAGATGTGGAACACACTCCTGACGGAGGCCCGTGTTCTCGTTCAGCTCTCGATGGTCCATGGAATACCAGAGGTCCTTCTATGGGCTCTCCAGAAGGGGAAGGCTGTAATCACTACCAGAGAAGCAAGATTCTTTTCATTCTTATACAACATGCCAAATGTTTTCCTAGTTGATAGTGGGGATGTTAACACCGTCTCGCCACATTTATTCCATCTTTTCACTGACAAAGACCTCTACGCACGAGCTGTTTCAAACGCCCAGCAAAGGCTACCAGATAGCCTGACTACAGTTGGCAATGCAGCTGCTTGGATGTTTCTGGCCTCGAAAGTGTCGCGTCTGGGTACCTTTGAACCAAATGGCGAAGATATAGATAGGTTAGCACTCCAGGAGGCAGGACCGTATACTTGAAACGTTCTGTGAATATTGGTTTGTCACTTGATATTGTGCTCTTCGGTAACTGCCAAATGCAACTATAATAATGCGATCGGGAATTGGCGTTAGGAATATGCACTGGAGACTCAATTCTAGCAGTTCCGGCGGTTAAGCCAGCATTGCATATTGAAATTGATTTATGAAAAGTCCACTTCAGGAGGGTAATTATGACGGTGTCATCCAGGTTTAAGAAAGACGAATACGCGTTGGTGTCCATGAATCGAGGGAACCAAACATGACCTTAAGTAAACAATAGACGCTAAAGTCATTAGACTTTCCCGTTAAGAAGACCAAATCAGAGGCTATGACTGAACCAAAAGCCGAATCCTACCTATCCTATGATGTGGGAGAGAAGTCCGCCATGGTACAGAACCCTCCGGAAAACGAAGCGCGAACACGATTGGCATTGAATCCTTCGTGGCGATACCTCGACAGTGTGGGACATGAGCTAAGTCAGGCAATATCAACGTCTGACTGGTATGGATCCTTTGGCTATCTGCTGTCCTTGTACATTAAAAAAGAGGCAGGTGAGCGATACCTAAAATAGCAACGCCGCGATATGGAGCTTTCGGTACCCTTCGGTTAAGAACCACTTAATATTTCTCTGGATACAAGTATCATAAATACCAATCAGACATTCCGGAAACAGTAACTAAAGTGGCATGATACCTAGCTGGAATAAATTGTAATTTAAATTTTTAAAATGGTACTGGTCGCCTATAGTCATGTCTCGACTCCGTATGATGCACCTTCCATTGAACACACAGTCGTTTCACTGCGAACCTTATTGAGACGCAGGAAGTCTAATGACCTGATTCAGAATATCTCCTGATATCCCTTTCTCGTGCCTAGAACTTTAACCATGTATACCATTGCATAATCCGTGGTTCTACGAACCCGAGCTGCTTGCGGCAGCAAGGATTAAAAAACCGGAGTAATATTTCGACAAGTGATCCAACTTTAGGGAAGGTAACATAATATCGACTCATTGCAGATCTAGTAAAGATGAATGACACGAGTGTATATACAAAGTTTGTTCGAAACTTCGAGCAACTGAAGCGCGATGATGGACCCCTGGTTGGTGGCAAGAATTCCTCCCTGGGTGAAATGATCACTGCCCTGGGAGGAAAGGGCATTTCAGTACCACCTGGTTTTGCGACGACGTCGAACACCTACTGGCAGTATTTGGACGCCAATGACATTCGGAAGAAAATAACGGGCTTGATTGAGAACTGGAAATTGAGAAAGACAACTCTTCCTGAAACTGGTCATGCGGTGCGTGCGCTGTTCCTTCACGGGAACTGGCCTGCCGATGCAGAAGCCGCCATTAGGGATGCCTATCGTCAGCTTTGTGTCAAGGCTGGAGTTGCTGACCTCAGTGTCGCGGTCCGATCCAGTGCAACTGCAGAAGATTTACCAGACGCCAGCTTTGCCGGACAGCAAGAGTCGTTTTTGAACATCTCCGGCGAAGAGGCTCTCTTGCATGCCTGTCGATGCTGTTATGCGTCGCTCTTCACTGACCGGGCTATCAGCTATCGCCAGGCCAAGGGATTCGATCATATGAGCGTGGCCCTGTCCATAGGTGTGCAGCGAATGGTTCGATCCGATGCAAGTGGCTCCGGCGTCATGTTTTCGATTGACACCGAAACTGGTTTCGACAAGGTAGTTTTAATCAATGCCGCATGGGGGCTTGGAGAAAACGTTGTGCAAGGGACCGTGAATCCAGACGAATATCAAGTCTTCAAACCACTCCTGGCTGATACGAGCCTGGTCCCAATCATAGAAAAAAGGCGTGGTGACAAGGCACTGAAAATGATCCTTGGCGGTACAGAGACGCCGACCCGTAATGTGCCCACCTCGAAAGCTGAGCAAGCAGCATTCGTGCTAAATGACGGGGAAATTCTCCAACTGGGGCGTTGGGCCTGCACTATTGAAACCCATTATGGCTGCGCGATGGATATGGAATGGGCTAAAGATGGTATTACGGGCGAGCTCTTCATCGTTCAGGCTCGGCCAGAAACAGTCCATTCGCGCAGCCATGCAGCTATTTTCAAAACGTATACCGTTGGCAAAAAGGGACGTCTATTGACCACTGGCCTTTCTGTTGGTGGCGCGGCAGTGTCAGGCCGTGTCTGCCTCATTGAATCGGCACAGGACATTAGCAAATTCGTCGATGGCTCCATACTAGTGACCGAAACCACCGACCCGGACTGGGTGCCCATCATGAAACGGGCCGTAGCCATTATCACAGACCACGGCGGACGAACCTCGCATGCGGCTATCATCAGCCGTGAACTGGGTCTTCCAGCAATTGTTGGTACGGGCAACGCTACATACATCCTCCACACCGACCAGGATGTCACCGTCTCGTGCGCAGAGGGCGACAACGGCTTTGTGTACGAGGGGAGTTCGGAGATCACTACCCAATCTGTGGATTTGACTGAGTTCCCCAAAACTCGGACGAACGTCATGCTCAATCTCGCCAACCCAGCAGCAGCTTTCCGCTGGTGGAGACTCCCCGCAGATGGCATTGGACTCGCCCGTATGGAGTTTGTTGTCACCAACGCAATTCAGGTCCATCCTATGGCGCTGGTTCACTTTGATCGATTGACAGATGTGAAGGCCAAGGAGGATATTCTCCGCTTGACAACTGGGTATGACAATAAGCCGGAATATTTTGTTGACAAGCTGTCCCACGGGTTTGCAGCCTTGTGTGCTGCCGTCTACCCTAAGCCTGCTATTATCCGTATGAGCGATTTCAAGACGAATGAATATGCCCGTCTTGTGGGTGGCCGTGAGTTTGAGCCGGATGAGGAAAATCCGATGTTAGGCTTCCGTGGCGCCTCCAGATATTACTCCGCCCACTACAAGGAGGGATTCGCTTTAGAATGTCGTGCAATTAAGCGTCTACGAGAGAAAATGGGCTTCACAAATGCCATTGTCATGATCCCATTTTGTCGAACCGTAGGAGAAGCGAAGAAAGTGTTGGATGCTATGGCTGAGAATGGGCTCAGGCGGGGGGAGAATGGACTGCAGGTCTATGTTATGTGTGAAATCCCATCCAATGTCATTCTCGCAGCCGACTTTACGGAACACTTCGACGGCTTTTCTATCGGATCCAACGATTTGACTCAGCTCACCCTCGGCGTCGATCGCGATTCCGGCGAACTGGCGGACCTTTTCGATGAGCAGGACAAGGCAGTCAAGTGGATGCTGCAGCAGGTTATCCAGGTGGCAAAGCAAAAAGGTTGCAAAATCGGCATTTGCGGCCAAGCCCCAAGTAACCACCCCGAGTTTGCTCGGTTCCTGGTTCAGTTAAAGATCGATTCAATCTCTGTTAGCCCAGACAGCTTCTTCGCGGTGAAAAGACATGTCGTTGCGGGCGAAAATGCATGACCAGGGGTTTGCACTGTCAAATATCAAAATCGGTTGCTCAAAGAAAAGTTACTTACGCCTCCTTTTTTGCCGCTGTCTCTGTCTTTATTTCTAATTGTAGTAATGAAACATCTACTTATCATTTTGGTCCTAATACCTGGTCTCATCAAGTAAACAGGCAAGTCCAGCCGTTTCAAGGAAGTAGATGGGAGCCAGCCCTATCGTTGCAAACGGTATTGAAACTAAAGTCAGGCGGATTTCACTAATACTGGTACTAGTACTCCCTCATTAGGCCTCCTGTCCTAGAGGCACGATTGCGAAGACATCTCTCGACCACCCCCGACACAAGGCGCAGATTGCTAACTACATGCATGGTGGAGCTCAAATCACTGAGACTCATCCGACTTCAACCTTTCCATCGTGCGCTTCAATTCCTGCGCTGTCTCATTAAGGTCCTCCCATTCTTCACGATCCAACTGCATATCAATCGCCTTCATGACCCCTCCCCTACCCAGCACGACAGGAAGGCTAATGCAGCACTTGTACTCAGACAGAAAGTGGCTGAGGCAGCAGACATCCCGCTTATCAAAGAGAATAGAAGAGCAAATACTACAAACTACTGAGCCAATTCCGAACGGTGTTCCACCTTTGGCCCGAATAATGGTTTGGGATTTCGCTTTGCATTCATTCGCAACATCAGTGAGCGTGTCTGTGTTTTGAGGGAACCATCGTGCGATGGGAACACCTCCAATAGTCACACCGGACCATGCAACTACCTCTGAAGGTCCGTGTACACCCACGACCTGGGCATCGATAGAACTAGTTGCAACCTACAAATCAGTTCGTAAGCACTGGGACGACCTAGCAAGGCAAGCATTGATATCTCACGCACCCCAGCCCTCTCTGCCAAGAGTCCGCGAATTCGGACCGAATCAAGATATGTACCGGACCCCAGAACCTGGGACTTTGGCAGCCCGGAAAGCTCTTGCGCGAGGGATGTGAGCAAGTCGACAGGGTTAGCCACAATTAGTAGAATTGTATCAGAGCGAAAGGGCCTCGCCTCATCGACTATGCCTCGGATGATTGCGATTTTGTGGTACAAATGCTGCACAGTGGTTTCACCTATCAATGACGTAAGGCTTTGCTGGGTAGCAGAAGTGGAAATCGTAGGAGGTTAGGAAGACTTATCAACTTACCTCTGGAATGTTTTGATCCAGCAGTAATGACCACGATATCGCATTGGCCGACTTCTTGGTATGTGGCCGCCCGCACACGTATACCGCTGTTGTTACCATAGGCCACATCCGCAAGGTCTCTGACTTGAGCATCTCTCAGCTCGGCCTTTATATCAACAAGGAGCAGCTCATTCGCGACATGGCCGAGGATGAGAGCATATGCTGCAGCAGAACCGACCTGGCCAACACCCACAATGGCCACGCGTGTATTTGGGTTACTGGTTTCAGGCGGCATTATCAGCTAGTAATTCGATATACAGCCTCACAGAAACCGACAATGAAAAGGTTGGGCGCCTTGTGTTTGGTAGTTGGCAGGGCGGTGGCATATATCCAAACCTCGTATTCGTGACAGGTGCCACATGGAACGGTTGGAAACGGATCCATAGCTTGGCAACACAATCTTCACTCACATCATGCCATGTACGACTTAGTTTCTGGGTGTCTGGAACCTTAGTAGAACATGGAATGAATGATGCCGCCGTTCCAAGGGCCAGAACGTGACAGGCAAGTCACTAAACATGATATGCTCCATGAATCTCTACCCCTATTGGCCTGTAAATGATGTAATCCCGTATTTTCTTCCAGGCCATGCATATTAGCCTAATAATGTACACATGGAAGCCAGTATGGCATCCCATGGGTCCAGCTCAGGTGATCCATTTGATAGTCAGCCCATCGGCCCTCGTCTGCCAATACAAGGGATTTCAGACATAGCAAGGATATCCATCACATAAACCGAATATTCAACTGCGTGGCTCGTATGATAATGTCGGAATATGCTATCTCCGAGCATGTAGTTTCCCAAAAGCATCACTAGGCACTAAAACCTTGTGAAACCTTTTAATGGTCATACTTAATAATGATTATTACTCTTCTTTCCACTTAGGCCATCCCGCTTGAAAGCTACTAATCCACTGTTCTATGCCCGCCTAACCTCTGTGACCCAACAATTCGCGAGCATAGTAGATTCCTTATAGGGTGTCACGGTTTTCTATAGTTGGGTGTTGAATTTGCTATTATCCTCAATACCTTCAATCATGGCATCAGACATTCGTGTTTCCGCGATGAAAACCCCTATAGATATTGCAGAATACCTGTTTACTCGGCTATATCAACTTGGGGTGCGAACAGTACAAGGCGTCCCTGGTAATCCTTCGTCTTCCTTTTGTTCTCCTTTTGCCCGCCCGTACTATGCTTACAAATTTAAAAGGAGATTATAACCTAGCTGCATTGGATTATATCCCAAAAGTCGGGCTCAAGTGGGTTGGGAACTGTAATGAATTGAATGCCGGTATAGCTTCCTCCTGTGAAGTGCTTCACGCCACAGACGCAAGATTCACTGATATTTGGGTAGGGTACTCTGCCGACGCGTACGCTCGGATCAAAGGAATTTCAGCAATTGTTACAACATTTGGGGTCGGTGAACTCTCGGCCTTGAATGCGATTGCCGGGGCATATTCAGAGCATGTTCCGGTGGTGCATATCGTTGGCCAACCCAGCACTGCGTCGCAGAGGGATGGCATGTTACTTCACCATACCTTGGGAAACAGTGACTATAATGTGTTCGCAAACATCAGCGCCAATCTCGCTATCACAGTGGCAAAGATCACGGATCCTCATGATGCACCAACATTGATTGATCATGCATTGCGGGAGTGCTGGATGCAATGTCAACCGGTATACATTGCTTTACCCACAGATATGGTAGAGCAGAAGGTTGAAGGAGAACGCCTTCAAACTCCAATCGACCTTGATGAGCCTGTAAATGAAGCAGAAAAAGAGGAATACGTGGTAGATGTGGTGTTGAGATATCTTCGTGTCGCTAAAAATCCGGTTATTCTGGTTGATGCTGGGGCAATCCGTCACGGTGTGCTTAGAGTCATTCATGAATTGATCCAGAAAACTGGCTTCCCGACCTTCGTCACACCCATGGGGAAAGGTGCAGTGGATGAGACCCTACCTAACTTTGGAGGTGTATATGCGGGGACAGGTTCCAATGAGGGCGTCGCCACGAGGGTGGAGTCTGCTGACTTGATCCTCAGCATCGGGCCTTTGAAATCAGACTTCAATACAACGGGATTCTCATACCGTACCAGTCAGCTAAACACCATCGACTTTTACAGCGACCATGTTCAGGTTCGGTATTCACTGTATCCGAAGGTGAGGATGCGAGGCATTCTTCAAAAAGTCATGGCCAGGATGGGCTACCTATATGTCCGACCTGAAGCCACATCTTTCAGAGGCACAATGCACAGTAGCACCCTTGAGGTATCAAATGGGCCCATCACGCACTCATGGTTATGGCCAGCAGTCGGTAACTGGCTGCAGGAGGGCGATATTGTCATTACTGAGACAGGTACTGCAAACTTTGGAATATGGGAAACGAGATTTCCCAAGGGTGTTACTGCGATCAGTCAGGTCCTCTGGGGTAGCATCGGATATTCTGTAGGTGCATGCCTTGGAGCTTCATTGGCTGTCCGAGAGGCTGAGAAGCGGAGAGTAATACTCTTTGTTGGAGATGGCAGCTTCCAAATGACGGCACAAGAAGTGAGTACAATGATACGCCAGGAATTGAATCCTATCATGTCAGACCCCATCCCTAAGGTTGAATAAGCTTACGTTGGTCTGCTAATGGCATGTAGATTTGTAATCTGCAACAGTGGATACACTATCGAACGCTATATCCACGGCTGGGATGAAGAATATAACGATATTCATCCATGGAAGCATGGTGCTTTGGTTGAGGCATTTGGGGCCCAATGTCAACATTCTTACAGTACCTACCAAGCTTCAACCAGGGATGAGCTTACATCATTACTTAACAATACCCGCTTCTCCTCTGCTCCTCATTTTCAGGTACGCGTTCTAGTACTCGATGTAGATCCGTGCCACTTAACCAACTGATTCCTCCCAGCTTGTGGAATTATACATGCCTAAAGATGATGCACCTGCGGCTCTCCAGCTTACTGCCGCAGCGGCAGCGGCGAGAAACTCACCGACATAATAAACGATGCTTGCGACGAGATAGCTGTGACTGTTCCCTGTCTACGCCTCTGCAAGAGGATGCATAATGAACTAATCTGTAGCCGGAAGGGTCTTTTGAAATGTTTATTTTGAATAAGTATGTAGTGTGGTGAAGTTTTATGGGTACTTAACACAGAGAATTTGTCGATATAGTAATAGGTCTCTAATATTGTGTATGTGTTGTGTTAGGTGTCGAATGACTTTGGGTTTCTATATATTTTTGTTCCGTAGAATCCACGATTTGACCCACTATATTTGTTTTCGGCTGGTAAAAGATTCTATGCAATGCTACTCGAGCAAGAACATTACGATAGACTTCAGTCTGTCCATCCTACCGTATCATGTCAGAACACTCATGGTTGACTGTAAGATACTAATTAAAAACGTTTTAGTTCATATCTTATGAAGTGAACCAACGGCATTTCTTTAATATAAATCGGTATAGAACACAATCAAGTAGCTTAATTGTTGATACCTGTGACTGGGATAAGCTCCCGAGGACCTTTGACATACGAGCAAAGAATAATTCGTACCATGCATTACTCGCCAATAGGTACCAAAGGCGAGATAGTAAATACATGGCACGAGGCGTTTGTGGCGAGCTGAGCGTGGGTCGAAGCGGGTTTTGCGAGGAGCCTGATCATTTATTTATTTATTTAATCAAGTTTAACGTCCATATGGAGCCAGTTGGCTATGACAGACACATGCGTCTGGGCAGTGGTCTAGACCACTGCCCCTAATTTATCTCTAGGAGCTCTATAAGCTCCTACTATCCTTTGTATATTTGTTCTGGTCCTTTTCCTCGCCCGATCCGCCTATCTGCGTCAGAGTATTTGGGTTGTGCCCTCCTCGGTATTTATTGCCAGTTGGGTAACTTCTAGATATGTCTAGGCTATCCCTCCCACTATCCTTCTCCTCTACTCTCTGCTTTCTCTACTAACCCAAGATCTCTTAGGTTATCTCTAGAGATCCTATCTATCTCCCTGGCTGCCTCTCCTGGGAAGCACCCAGCCTTTGTTGTTGCAAGGAACGCTATTATGGCCTTTATAGCTCTCTGATTCTTAAAGAGGTGGCTTTCTGGAGCTATCTTTTCTTGTCCAGGTAGTTGTACTCCTGCCTTTGTTAGGGCCCTATACAGGGTCTGTTGTTGGTGGCGCCATTGCCTGTATTCGACTAGTAGATGATCTGCTGTTTTCTGAGGAGCTTGGCAGTTCTGATATCTAGGGGAGTCCTGAGCTCCTATCCGATTAAGATAGGTTGGTACTGCTGTATGCCCAATTTTCAGCTGGTAATATCGATGTGTAAGCTGTTTGGGGGCTGCTTCTGCTATTGGATCTAGTTTCCAACTCTTCTGGGGCTGATATCGCTGCCGAGCTCTGTTAGATCGTCTCTCTAGGATCTGTATAAGCTATTTTTGTCTTTGGGTCTGGTTTGTCTCTGTACATGTTCTGTGTAGGTAGGCTAGACTCAGGCTTCTGTCTGTATCTCTTGAAGGGGGCTTTTTGGCAGCTAGTTTAGCTGTTTGATCAGTCTTCTTATTTCCTAGTATACTCTGATGACCTGGGACCTATTGAATAGTAATCAGACACCTTTGATTTATTAGTTCTTGGGCTATATCTTGTATCTGAATTGCCAAACTCTGTCCTGCGCCAGCTCTGTTATCTTGTAGCTTAGCTATCGCTGCCTGGGAATCTAATAGAACTCTGATAGGGTTCTTATAGTCCAGCTGCTCAGCTATCTCAAGCGTCTTGTATACCCCTGCTAGTTCTGTGTCAAAGACCTCCTTCCCCTGTCCCAGAGATATCTGCTTGGTTGTCCAGGTGCCTGAGGGCTGTTGCTATGTAATATCTGCCCCTGTTTGTCCATTGTCTAGGCGTGTCTATCTGACTATATAGTTAGACTTTTATATAGGGTATTTGTTTGCTGAATAGCCTCTGGCTCTGTAGGTACTAGTATAGTGCCCGGAAATACTTTTGGAAAGGTCTCTACTGTTTTCTTAAACTCTGCCGACGGATCTATCTTCAGTATTTCTATTAATTTAGTAGCTAGATACTGTCCTAGGCTCAATAGGCCTCGTGTCTTAGGGCCTTCAGCCTATATTTGATTGTCTGAGGGCTGTTCCCCGGGCTGCGCATAGCAGTCTCCCTTGCGGAAGCTAATAGGCAGTATAGCCTGTGTTGGGTGTCTCTCAGGCAGTCCTAGTAGTCTTAGGCCATATTGTCTCTGGCGTTTGTCTAGTAGCACTGCTGCTGGAGATAGGGCTGCTTCTTTGATAAGTGGTCCAATAGGTGTAGTTCTCAGTATGCCTGTAATAGCTTGTGTCTGTCGATTAATCAGCTGCTGAATGCCCTTCAGTCTATTATTTTGACCCTGCTACTAAAGCTCTGCTCTATATAGTGCAACTGCCTGTACTGCAGCTATTTGAATATGTTGAACTAGGCCTGGTGATAGCTCTCGGTCTCGGTATAGACTTTGTACCTGTGCCTCCGCCCTGCGGGCCTTGCGTAGACAGGTATGGTAGTGTGTTTTAAGGGTCAAACCCCTATCTAGTTATATTCCTAGCCACTGTGTGGTCTCAGAGTTGAAGGCAACTCTGTATCCTTCTATCTGGATCTTTGCTTGCTGTATCTGATCTTTAAGCAATCTGTTTCTTTTTCTTGTAAAAAGAACTGCTTCGGTCTTTTCAGTATCGAACTGAACTGCTTGTTTTCTGTCCTGCTCTATAACAGTTTTAGCTGTCTGTTCTAGGTCCTGGCAGGCTCTTTGTACCGAGCTAGCTGATATTAATAGGGCTATATTATCTGTAAATGATATGGCTTTAATACCAGGAACTGCTTGTTTAATAGCTTGAAAGATTGTTTCTAGATAGATAATAAAAAGAATCGGGGAGACTGGTGAGCTCTGTGGGACCCCTGTATCTATAGCCTGCGCAGAATATTGCTGTTGGTCTATAACCAGCTGTATTCTGCGCTCTGCTAGGAATGACTGTACCCAGCGGCATAGATCTCTATCTAGATCTAGCTCTAGTATTCGCTTTACTAGTCTTATAGCGTCTACGTGGTCAAAGGCCCCTTTTATGTCTATAAAGAGGGCCCCCACCAGCTGCTTTTGGCCCCATGCTTGGTGTATCTCTTGAATCAGGCAGGCTACTGTGTTAACTGCGCTGTGTTGTTTTCGGCTGTTTATTTGCCCTGGATGTAGAATACCGGCTGCCTCGCAGTAGCTAGAGATAGCTTCTGTTGCTACTTTCTCTACTATTTTCCCTATATAATTCAGTAGATTGATTACTCTGTAGGTCTTGACTATTGAATAGTCGGGCTTATTAGGCTTGCGCAGTAGGATCCCCTTTGCTGTCTTCTATGCCTGTGGGTGTAGCCCCAGTCTGAAGTACTGGCGTACTAATACTACTATTCGCGTGGTATCCCAGCTCCATAGTAGTCTCAGTGCCCGGAAGTTGAGGCGGTCTATTCCGGGTGCCTTTTGAACTGCCTGACTAAAAAGAGCTTTTTGAACTATGTTATGGTTTACCTGTAGATGCATAGTTCCCTGAGGAATTGCTTCTATTGTCTCACCTCTAGGAGCTTTAGGAAATAGGACTTCCCTGATCAGAGCTTCTTTTGCCTCTAGGGTAGTTGCTTGCTGTCCCCGAGGGCTTTTGAGTACTGGTATAGTTCCGGTAGTCAGGGGTTTGCAGTATCTGAGTGCCTGCCAGTATCGGGTTGAGTTCTTAGGGTCTAATCCTTCTTTAGGCTCTGTCTTTGCCTCGCTTGACTGCTCTGTTAGAAAGGCCTCCCAGTATTCGCGCTTTGCCTTTCTAATAGATTGATAATAGATATTCCTGACCTCTTTTAGATCCTGATCAGTGCCTAGATCTGTTGTCTATATCCGTTTAGCTCGTGTGTATTCTCGCCGGCTGGCTTTGACCTGCGGGCCCCACTATTGTTTAGAGAATGGGGTTATCTGTATAGGTGTTGCGTGTTTGCTTAGTACCTCTGTCAGAGCTGTTTGTAGCCATACTGTCTTGCTTTCCACCTCCGCCCTACTACAGCTATCCAGTAGAGCTGGCTGGTTAGCTGCTAGAGTCTTCTATGTCTGTTTAGTATTTTCTAAGGTTTCTGGATCTGCTTCCAGATTCCTAATTTGCCATCCAGTCGTCTGTATGTTGGCTTTTTCAGGTCTTTGTTCTAGCTCTTCCCATTCAGCTAATATCAGCTCATGATCAGATCCTGTAGGATATTCGTTATCAACTAGCCAGCTAGTCAAGGGACCTAGCTCTGGAGTTGATATTGTTAGATCAATAATTGAGATACCAGGGGTCCGCTTAGGTCTGGTAGGAATATCTGGCTTATTATTAATATGCAGATTAAATCTCTCAATTAGATCCTCCAGCGGTGTTGTATTAATATGTTGACTAGTCTGGGGATTCTATATAGGACTGTGGGCATTGAAATCTCCTAGTATCAGGTATTTTTTTTCTACTAGTAGATTCTATTTGGTATCTTTAATAGCGCGGCGGTGTCTAGAACTAGAGTCTTGCCAGCAGTAATCTTTATCTAGCCAATTATTATAGTAGTTTACTATTCTTGTTCTCCGAACCCGGTTCCTATCTCTATCTAGATCCCAGATATCTAGGGCTAGTATATAGGGATGGTTAATCAGATCAGTTCTGACTTCAGTGATCTTTTGGTTTAATAGATCTTTTCGGACTGTTATTAGTATTCTATAGTACTTACGTCCTCCTTTCTGTGGCCAATATAGTAGATAGGCAGAGTGTCGGAACTCCTGTACAATATAGGGTTTCTGTAGACAGATTATATCTGTTTGTCTCTGGAGCCCTGCTTCCAGGGCTGCTATAGTAATAGGATAAGTCCTGCGACAGTTCTGCTGAACTATCAGTATTGGGATATGCTGATAGATCTCACTGGCCTAGGAGTCTGAGAATCCTCCATAGTCTGGTCTCGGGGGGTGGTCGGTAGAGGTGTCTGAGCCGCCCTAGTAGAACTACCAGGTAATGAGATACTTCTCGGATGTGTTCTGATGACTACCTGAACTGCTGGTGAGTTCGGCGGCATGGCAGGCGCTTGATTTCGCTGTTTTCGGGCTGTCTGCTTACTAGGGCAGCTTGCAGCTAGTGCAGGATGTCTACCCCCGCAGTTACCACATCTCGCTGGAGTATGTTGATATGCTTTTCCAGCTCTAGCTGAGCAGCCTAGAA